CACAAGGGGCAGCATGAGATGTTCTATGGAGCAATATGAGATTCCCCGTCCCACTTGAGTGCCTGGTAGAAAATGATTAGAAAATCACAGGTTCTTGATGAATAGCATATCATATGATCTCCAATTGGGTGTAATAGGTTGGTCACTCTTGAGTGCAAAGTGTTCGTTTGTTATGCAAAATATATGGCATAAATTTATAAGTCCTTGAGAGCTAGTTTGGTGATATAATCATTTGCTCACTTGTCAAGAATGGAAGAGATATAGCTATGCACCCTTCCAAAAGTGCAAAGGCCTAACCCTATTCAGCACGTAAATTAGCATTGTTTTTTAAAAGTTGGACCTACAGAGCTTTTGAAGCCTAGTCTAGAATCTACACTGCCAGTCCAATTTCACAGGAATTTGACGTTGTAGTGAGCTGAGAAATAATCAATATAGAAAAGGGGCAATCATCTGGAAAGAAGATGATGTTGTTCTTTGTGTTCTGACCAAATAGAAGCTATGATGGAAAAAAAAACGTATTGGGGACTTTATTTGACTTAAATAACTGCGAAATTGTCAGGATTCTTAAGTAGCGTGTTAAGGAATTAGGGGTTTATAATTGGAGCACAAGGCAAGGATTTTTAACGGTTCTTTCAGCTATTTGGTTTTCTCTGGGACAGTGTTTTGTACGGCATTGTGTTCCAGACTCATGGCTCTTTTGGAGAGCTTCCAACCATTCTGTTTCAAGTGTATGAGTTTCTTTCTTGCATGGATGTATTATTTCCTTTCTTTCTGGTTCATTTTGCTTCCTTTCGCAGCTCTAGAATAATTTATTTTCTAGCACTGCGTTGTTTACTTTCTAATATTTTATCCAAAAAGAATTTTTTAAAATAACTTCTATGCATATTTGACATCCAACCAAAGAAACCATTCTAACCTAAGATTCACCATAGTTTTGCGACGTGGTCTGAACTAAAGGTGGTTGGCTGGTGGGGGGATGGGGCAGTTTCTTAATGGGACTTTGAAACATCAACGTTTTCAGCGGTGAACAATTCAGCTGAGCAATTGATTTCTCAGCTTCAAGTTTCATTCGTACCCATGTAGCCTATTTACTGAGATCTAGGGTTTTGTTACAATAAAAAAAAATCTGGAATTTAAATTGTAATTATCAGATCTCATCAAATCTGATTCTAATCTCCTAAATTAAATAAAAGATAATGAGAAAATATATGAAATATCAACTAATAAACCAGACTAATTGAGACCCATCTTAAATGGGGCTTGGGCAATGGGCGCCTTGAGGCAAGTGGAGAGAAAAAGCCTACATAGGACTATTATTGAAATCAGTGCCTTATCTTAGCTCATGAGCGTAAAATTAATATAAGTCCGGGCCCAGTCAAAAGAAGTCCAGATTTGTTGGGTCCAGTTCTGTGTATCTATGTCATGCCTCCATTGCTTTACAAAAGGAGCATTATGGTGCTGAATTATACTTAACAGCATCCAACTAGGCTAATGTTGCTAATAAATTAAGTATTTAGAAATCAGTGCACGGGTTTACTTGTTGCTACCAATAATTAGGGGGTTTTCCTTGTCAACTAACCGGTGCTGAGAAACAAATCAAATTTCTTCTGCAATTAAATGTCAGAGCGGAATATTTAGCATGTTGTGTTTATATTTGGTATCATGTGATCCATGTCGTCAGCCTTATTTAGTCAGATAAGGTTTTTTGTTGTTGTTTGCTCCTTCCCTCCCCATATGAGCTTACTATTTTTTTCCTTACTCTCTTTTAAAAATCATGGTGATAAATTATAGAGCAGCACAAAATGTTAGAGGCTTGAAACTTACAGTTTTGTAGCGCATCTAAGTGCATTTTTTAATATTCCACATCCTTTTTTTTTTTTGCCAACGTAATATTTCACATTATAAATATGATAGAGAATGAAATATTACCAAATAATAATATTTCACATTCTAAAGTGCATTTTGCAATGACAACGAGATTGCTGCAGATATAAATGTTTATAAAAATTATCTTGACAACGTTTGAGTTACTTATATACTGAGTTTCCTTTGATAAAATCATCTTACACGGTTGAGTTTCCGAGTTGCTGCCAGAAATTGGCTTTTAACAATCAGGTAACTCATATCTTGAGTTTCCTTTGATAAAATCATCTTACACAGTTGATTTTCCGAGTGGCTGCCAGAAATTGGCTTTTAACAACAATTGAGTAACTCATATCCTGAGTTTCCTTTGATAAAATCATCTTACACAGTCTGCATGTGACTACACTGACATGGTTGCTGCTTTATAGCCATCTGGCCTTGATGGATCATACGATTAGATTCTGACAGCCCTCTAGATGTCTGCTTTGCCTGTCTGACTTGTATAGATATGTGATTTCTGATTTCTCATGGAAACCTCATTATTTTGATGTCCAAATATTTATCAAACTATGAGTGCTGAGTATTTCTTGCCATAGCTTTTTATATTTTTTTTCTCATTATAAATGAATACATCATTTTATGAAGTTCAGAAAAGTCTTTGGAATGTCGTGTCCTCTTTGTCTAGCCCAATTCACTGCCTCTTTGGCACGATACAAGGATAACCACTATAAGGAGGGGCGCAAGCCCATTGGATGCTTGACTTTTTGATCAACACTTGATATTTGGATCTAGTTAATTGGCATATCTTAATATCTTAAATGTATAGAAATCTTTGGGACATTACACCTTTGTGGGACTAAACTTGCATGCTTGTAGAATGCCAAAATTTTTACTTGGCAGAGTTGAATCAGTTGCTAGCTGTCGTGGCTGAAAGCAGTCTTTGAAGACTGTGGTGGTATAGCATCTCATTCATCTGAATATAGATGAGAGAAGAAAAAATATCTCTTCATTTAACAAAAACACGTGGCTTACGGACTGTCATCCACCCCCAAAGCTCATCTTCTTAGAAGATGTGATTTGTTTTATTGTCACTTGTGGTGCTTAAACATCGGTATATACGATGCGTACATATTGCAGTTTCTTTTGTGATTGGTGAGCATTTTCATATTATGTTATGGTTGACAGACAACTTGGTAATCCTACATGCTGTAGTTAGGTAAATATATTTGGAGTTGTTTGCTCACAAGACAAAGTTTCTCCTATGACATGGTAGATGCCTTCTGTTTTTGCGTCAGGTCTTGTGTTTTTATGTGCTAAGCTTGCTTGAGTTTCTATGTGGCTGAAATTTACTTTATGCTCAAATTTAGGCTCAATAATTTCAGCATTGTGGCACTAGATTTTTATTTTCAGATACCTTACCAGCAGCTGCTTGAATAGTTACGTGAAGAATTCTGAACTCAAATGAACTAATATTTTCTTAAGAGCATTTTCTGGAATTGAAATTAATATATATATTTTATTACATTTTTTTCTTAGTTCATTTTGACTGCACATGTGATAAGAAAGGATTTAAATAATAAATAAAATGTGTTGAAAATAGTGAATAATTTAGTCATTATTTATTTTTTTCGCAATTTATATTATGTCATTATTCTGTAGTTGTCATCTTCCTTTCTTTAAGGAATATCTATTAATAAAAAAGGTAGTTTGGATTTACCTAGATTTTATTTTTGTATAGAGGGATTTGATCAATCTGCTATGATATACTGTTCTAGTAAAAGGTACTAAGCATTTTCTATCAATAGTAGATGTTGAAATAAAATGTGAATCTCCTATCATTGCACAAGTTATTTAAGCCATGTTAACTATACGTTGGCTATGATTGAGTTCGGAATCTACAACAATGAACAAGGAATAATCAAACCAAACATTTGTCTCTTCCCATGATGGCATGATACTGAATGTAGCCCCATTATCCGTCACAAGTCTGAGGATTATCAACTATGACAAGGAGTGGTACCTATAGGGGAGGCTACTAAACCTGTTGTAATGGTACACTTGATGTGAAAAGACATCAAATTCTGGAATTATCAATTTTGTGGGAGTGGCTGCTGTGTGGCTGTGCATCCACCCTCAGTGAGGGTGGGTTTTTGTCCGCACTTAAGTGAGAATTGTGCACGCGTGAGTGCCGATAAATGGGATATTCAATCACTTGGGTACCACCTGCGTTGTTTTTCCATTTGATGTTGAGCCCAAAAAAATAATTTGAATGGACCTGATCATATGGCTGGTGATGTTTCTATACTTAGAAAGTTTGTTCCTAATTTTTAAAAGTTGCGTGTCCCTGTTGCTGATGGCTCTAATGCTTGAACGTGTGCCCTTTTACAGCAAGACACCAATTGAGAGGGAGACATCTAATACCAGAAATCCTAACGAATGGCTGTCTTGGAACCTTAACCCTCTGCAACCCTTACCTTTGCTACCTACACCTAATATGCAGAAACACATGACAACACCCAATCAATAAATCTGTTGCTTGTGGCAGGCTTTCTCCTAAGTTGTTGGCGTTTGTGCACAATGTAGAGGAGGAACTTCAAACAAATGTTTAGAAAGCTGCAAAGAAGCAGGAATGGAGTGAGGCAATTCAAGAAAAGTTAAGGGTCGTTCGGAAGAATCAAATATGGGAAGTTGTTGATCTTCCATCTGGAAAGACTACAAAAGGGCTTGAATCGGTATTCATGGAAAAAAAAAAAAAAAATTCTTGGTGGAAGTATCAATTGTCATAAACCAAGGTTGGTGGCTAAGGGTTTCAGACAAACCCATAGCATCATAGACTGTGAACTTCTGTGGTGAGGTTTAACACCATCAAACTTCTACTCTCTATGTTATCTGGCTTCGAGTAGCTATTACAACAACTAGTTGTTAATAACACTTAATGGCAATCTCAAGGAAGATTTTTACATGAAAATCCCACTGGGCTTGGAGGTTGAAGTATATGGCAATAAGTTATGCAAACTTAAGAAGTGTATATATGTACTCAAACACTCCTAGGATGTGTTTTTTTATAAATGTTGTCAAGATGATCATACTCTATTTGTCATATGTGGTTCAAATGAAAAACTAGCCATTCTAGTTGTATTTGTAGATGATACATGAGACAAGTAATGAGATTGGCAAACTGATACGAAATCTTGGAGCAGAGTTACACATTAAAAGCCTTGGCCAAATGAGGTATTTTCTGGGGATGGGGCATCGTACAAAATAAAGATGACGCATCTTGGAGAAAGCACATCATACATCTCCTTAAAGAGATTGAGGTCGTGTAAACTAGTTGACACATTAGAATAGGTCAGACTCCAGAAGGAAAGCCGATTGGTATGCATCAAGGGCTTGCAGGACGTCTAATTCATGACTAATAGAAGATCCAGTACTTGGTACTTGACAGTTGGGGGAGAAATTTAGTGCCATGGAGAAGCCAAAAAAAGAAGATAGAAACACCATTGATGTAGAATTGTGACCATTAGCACTTTGCAATTGCATATGTGAAGGAATACGGATGATGAGACTTCTCTAGGAATGGAGGCTAGTTGTGGAACTGCCACTGGTAGTGTTATGTATGTGACAGGGCCATCATCAGAATAACCAAAAATCTTGTACATCATGTTATAACAAGGCATGTGGAAATAGGTTGCCCTTTTATTGAGGAGAAGATCAACTCTGGTTTAATTGTATGTTGCTACCAGTGCCCAAGTTGCTGATCTGATGACTAACACTATTGCTCATGTTAAGTTTGAAGAATTGAGATAACAAGCAAGGAATGATAAACACATACTCTCCAGCCTGAGGGGCAGTGCTGAAAATAGTGACTGATTTAGTTATTATTTATTGTTTTACTGTTTATATTGTGTTATTATTCTTCTTTAGTTCTTATCATCCTTTATCACAGGGATATCCAAAGAAAAGAGAGAATTAATATTTAGTTATATTTTATTTTCAGCTCAAGGGATCTGATCAATATGCTATGATCAAAACCCTTCTTATAAAATGCACCAAGAATTTTCTGATCAATAAGAGACGTAATAAAATGTGAATCCCCTTTATTCCACCATCTGAATACTTGTCTTTCCTACTGTGATAGCTTGTTAAAGGTTTACACAATGGCTACTAATCTGAATTCCATCCAATTTATCACAGAAGATATAGAAATTGTAACAGAAGGCACATTATCCCCCCCCCCCCCCAAAAAAAAAAAAAAAAAAGGAAACAGAACCCACATTTGATGGTATCATTACTGCATGAAATTTACACAGGCAGGCGGTATGTTAGATGCTTAATTGTAACTACCATGCTTCATGATAGAACATCTCATACCAGTTGTTGAAGATTTGAACTATGAGTAGCAGTACTTTGCTTTCGTTGTCAGGGCCTGGTTGTTGACAGCTTGTTGTCAGACAACCAACCTTGATTGTTGACTGGCTTCGGCTTATGCAGCTGTAATCTGATACAGAAAATAGGTGATTAGCATGTGCAATTGTGAGAGGTGAAATTGGATGGACTCAAGCTGCATGTTCTATATTATCTGTTTGAGTGAGTACCCCAGTTTCATGGTTTTGGTCGGTGGTTCGTTGTGCTGAGACTGTGGCTGGCTTAGCTGGAGGCTGATTGGTGCATGTAAATCATACCCGTTGCTTATAGGGTATGAAGGATTGGATGTCCCATTTTCTTCGTTCATGCTTTGTGCTTCATAAACCTATGATTTAAAAATTCTATTCAGGCTTCTGAAGAAGAAATGAAACTCTTACCTTTTAAATGAACAACACTGGCCTAATACACTAACAAAACCTGATTGATGTGGTTCTCGTGAGTGCATGCTTGTTGATCATACATGCATTTCCTCTTGAGACATGCGTGTATATAATATGAAAAGATGTACAACAGTTCTTATCGTTATATCTGATATAATTCTTGATCAGATACCTTCTTTCTCAGTTCTGCATTTTCTTTTTGGATGATGTCTATCTTTTTGTAAAGTTGTACATTTTCTTCATGAACGAGATTTCCCTGCAATATCAGTAGAAGTTACTCAGAACCTGCAGAGAGGCCTTAGTTGGAACTTTGAAGGAACAATGGAAAATATCTAGAAACCTTTTGGTGTAGTTCTTTAATCTCGTCATTTAAAATTTGATCCTGCAGGGAAATGAATGTTCATGTGAGAGTCATGCTTAAAATAGATTTTGATTTGAATTGAGCTCTCATACCTTCCTCATGCGGACACCCTTCAAACTCATCTCTAGTTGGTTTTCCAGATTTTGTAGTTCTTTAATTCCCAAACCAGAAAGTTCTTCGCCCATCAGTTGCCTGCATTTGGCAAAAGAAAGTTATCAAAAGCTTTCCGGATTGTGATTGAGGGTGTTTGAAGGCTTAGAAATTATAGAAATTTCATGCATAGTTCTATTATTACTTCTGCAGTTGTGGTGTTGGAGCTCCACATTGGATATCTACAAGTAATTGTTATGTGTTTATGTGGCTTAGTTCGTCTTCCTTGCCAGCCAGTTTTTGAATGTGGATTTTCCATGCTTCCATAGGTGCTGGAGCTGCTGCATTTGTAATTTGTTATGGATGAGGAGGGACTAGACCTCCTGAGACCAAAGTTTGTTTCTAGTCTAAGCATGTAGCTTTTTAGGAGAATAGGTAAAAAAAAATTTATTTTTTTTTTTTGGGTACGTAGTAATGGTACATTTGAGGATAATTGCAAATTTTCAGTGAAAGAGGCATTCATCGGCTGATCCAAAGATTAGTCTTTTGGTTGCTTTCTTCTTGGAGTTCATTGTATTGCTCGAATGCCACAATGTGTATTTTCCTATTCTCATGTGACTATATTTTCTTTTTTTCTTTGTTCCTAAGTTCAGCTTTTAATGGCCGCTAAATCACTTTCATCACCTATCTAATAGATCATTTTATTATTAATTTTTTCTTGGCTTCTAATACAATCATGTGACAGTTGGGTGTTAAGCCTTTACCTGTGATAATCTTGCAAGTACTGTAGTTGTTGCCTCAGGCTTGCTACTTCTCTCTGCCAAAGCTAGCAAATACAGATGATCACATTAGATCATATGAAAATTAACAATTTTTAATTTAATTTCTAGTAGTGCGAAGAATTGTAAACTAGGAAGCTCCAATTCTAGCACTTGGCTAAGAACTTGTGTGATGCAGGGCTAAATTTCTTCATTAGATAGTGATGCAATTGATCACTCTGATCCATGTAGTTTCATTTAATGTTCATTTTCTCGGACATGTGTATCCTTCCTGCCTCCCCCACCACACGCGGGGGTGGGGCCCCCAGCAAATAAATAAATAAAAGTTGGCCCTAAGTACCCCGTGGAGCGCAATAGGATGATTGTTGGCAACCTTTGCATTCCCATGATTTAGGGCTGCACAATTTCAAAGGAGGATTCCACATTGGTGGAGTTGACACAATAGAACAGGTTCTTAGTATGTTAATATCCTTAAATTAGTATGTTGGATAATTTGGTGCACCAGGTTGAAAGATTCATCCTAAGTCGACCTCCTAATGAATGAGGAGTTTTTCTTAGGGTTAACCGGAAGGCTTAGTGCCTGACAGATATGGACTATTATGGGCTGGGCCCAGGTCCACTGAATTTGTCTAATCTATACAGTAAAATCCCAAACAGCCCCCCCCCCAAAAAGAAATTAAAAAAACTGCATTTCTGGGGAAGAATAGAAGAAAGGTTATAGCAGTTAACATTTTGTTTTAACTAATACTATTTTTAATTTTTATTTTGGTCTTAAATATAAAATTTCAATCTATTTTGTCTCTCATTTTTTTTTAATTTTTTTGAGAGTCTTTTTAATTATAATAATGGTAGTTTTAACCAAAACATTTGATTAATAAGAATATTTGAAGAAAAATAATATTTATTTATTATAAATAACTAATTTATATATTTTTTAATTTATTCAAATTAGTCAACTAGCTGATGACCGGATGTAGTATGTCTAAGACGCTTAATTATGCAGTGCAAGTATTGTTACTTTTCAATGTGAGGTATGCTGGATATCCAAATATACAAGAAATTCTTATCCCTCAAACAAACACATACCTTCCAAGCCATCGCTGTCATCCATCGTGTGACTTTTAGCGACCTTGCCGTGTCCGACAGTTGGGGTATGGATTTATTGCTGATTATAGAATATCAATTATAGGAAATCAAGTCCCAAAGTTCTCAAACTAGTGTCCCGCTCAGTTTTGAGCATCAAAATTGTGTGTCTGTGTCTGTGTCTGTGTGTGATCCAGACGTGCAAAATATTCAATGAAGCAAAAGGCAATGCCTTGTTTCGCTTTTAAAGCTATTCAAAGCAACATGGAATTGGAGCTTGATTCCTATTGGAAACCAGACTCATCGAACATGAGGCGAGAGGCCCTATCAATGATGAGCTTTTCAACTTGCCACTTCCTTCAATCATTCGTTGGAGCACTTCCCTCAAGAAGGTGGCATTATCCATTCTAGAATTTGCTCTGTTTACCTTAGATCTACCCAAAAATTTCTGGAGGGATTCTATTTTAAATGCCATGGATACTATCAATTATCAATAGAATAAATCTTGGGCCTGGCAAACTCAAGGCACTCAAGCCATAATTTCATTCCGTGAATTTCATTTGCCTCCTGGTCACTACCCTATTCATGTGCTAGACATGGAAAGGAGAAATGGAAAAACAAAATGAGAAAGAAATGTTATGATGAGCAGCTCACATCTGAAGCACAGGACAAGAATTCCGAACAAAATCCAAGAAGCACTGAATTGCTATAAATGCAGAGAATCAATCATGCAGGAGATGAGGAAATAGTGAGATAAGACCTAATGGTTTATTCTTGAAGGAAGAAGAATAGTGAGATATGAGGTAATGCTTCTCCAGGGTAGATTTCCCATCATGTCCAAGGAATGATAGTCAAGGAAATCCAAGTAGGGAATATTGATTGAAGATGAAAGGATTGCTCAAGAAAAATGATAAGGTCTCTTTATTGGTTAAAGCAATTTCCAAGGAATTGGTTTGATAAATTCTATAAAATATGGGTCTCATTCAACGTATGATTGCATGAAAGGTATAGGGCTTGGTTCAAGAAAGAGGAGCATGAAGGATGTTGTCTTTTGAAATACAAGACCAGTTGAACGTAAGAGCCTCCTTCAGCTTTGTCTCCAAATGCCAATTTTCTTTTCCCTTTTGTTCTCTAAATTGTTCACATTGTAAACATTCCTCTTCCTTTACCCAAAAAAAAAACACTTAAATTGTCTCCATTGTAATAAAATTTTCCAGAATGCGTGGGGGATACACCATACACTCATGCATGCTTCTATTGCCAATTACACATTATTCGTATATGAACTATTGGATTAAAGATCGTTACAACATCAATCCTTATACATAAAGTGCTTAAATGATAATTCACTTGTACGTTCTCTTAAACCATACAGGTAAGCTAGCTTGATGATATAGAAGAGTGGCGCATGAGTTGCGTTACCTTGACTTCTGAAGCAGGATTCATAAGCATCAGATGTTCCTCCTTAAGCTTGTTGTATCGCTCAATAGCAGATTTCATGCTGCAACCAACAGATATGAGATGTATATCAACTTCAATTAATATGCCAATTCTACCTTATAGTCAAAGCACATTGACATCATGCAGCATTGTTTACAAATTTTATTAATAGAGAAGAGTTTGATTGATTCTCAATTTTATCTAACATCAAGTTTAATCAACAGATATGATTAAAATTTTCTTCTTCAGCTGAATATGGAGGGCATAAGACAATGGAGGGTTTTCGTTCCCATAGCCTAGCAATTCAAAGTTTCTCTTTAAACTTGTCAAGGGCATGCTCTTCCTAAATGCATCACTATGTTCAACAAAGTTGACCACCCATTAAAGAAACAGCCCTTGAGGATTCAGGGATATTCAGAGTCCTCCATCAGTTCCCTATTAAACTCTTGTATTATAGCCATCCGTGTCCTATTAAACTCCTGTCATTTTCTTTGTTTCCTCATTATTCTGTTCCCACCAACTATGGCCACGGTGTCTGCTGACCTCAAAGATGATGGGATGTATTCTTTGAAAGACATACATTCTTTTTATCCTAAAATGTAACTCGCTTTTAATTATTTTACACAAATTAAAGAAAGTGATTAAAACTAGTATAAATTATCAAAAATTATCACTACTTTCTAGTATTGTCCTCCAATTGAAATCAACCTACGTGAATTATCTATAATTTCTTTCTTATACCATCGCTATCTACAAGACAAGAAATATGGGCAATATGGGCATTTGTGGCGAAAAAGTTAATGCTATTGATTTTCTACAAAGTAACTTATATTTAAACCATTAAAACCTTCTACTATGTGATTGAAGTACATGATTTGTCAACAATTTTCACTCAACCTTACATTACTCCTGCTTGCATTCATTAACATCAACGCATCATCTGCAGCAACATCAATCCCATGATCCACCCCTCCCCACTTTAAGCAAAGTTAAACCTCATCGTTCCTCAACATCACTACTTCCCAAGTATCTCCTTTAAAATCTCCCATGTTTTCTCATGCTTCAGATGAAGAAATGCTTCATGAGCCATGATCAAAATGCATTTTTGTCACTTCACATATTCTCAAAACTTGTAATTTTTTTTTTTGTAGCTTTTCTTTCCTCAAAGCAGCAACCTATGAATGTCAGCATCAGATTATTATGATCTGATCCCATAGGCCCTAAGTCAACAGAACTTCACTATAATGAATTTCTGCATGATTTGACCGTGCTTGTGAGATCTTTGACCAATCTAATTACAAGCACACATGTGAATATCAGTTACGTCAACGCAAATTTACAGAATAATTAGAATTTGAAATACAAATTCATGAAATGATCATCATCATTTCACCACTCCAGACAGAGGTAGATAAATCTTACTTAAAAGTCCACGTGTGTATATCAGTACTCACAAAGGTTTGTGTTTCTCTTTATTTTGACGTGTACTTTTGTCAGGCAAAATCTCAATCTTGATTAATACGCAAGAAAATGAAAATATCAATATTTCAATTAAACTATAAGTTTTACATTCATCATTGACATGAAATTCACATGTTTTTTGTAACCAAAGAAAATTTCTCATTTCATCATGGATCAATACACGATTTTGATATTTTTTATTTTTAGAAGGCCAAAACTCAAAAGACTGATCATTATCATGTTGGAAGAACTATTCTTATTTAGTCTATTGATAATACTTGAATTTTTCTTTGTTATTATTACCATACACCAAGCGTGCGTCAATGCAATATGTAAAATGAAGTTTGAAATGAAATTCAAGGTCTTTTGATTCTTTAATATATGTAAATCTGTGTTGAGGCGCGAGCAGATGAGCCATGACATCCATTTGATTTTTTGTGTGTGAGAAAGTGAGCAGCATTACTTATCTTTTACAAAATAATAAAATTATTTTCTCTAAGAAAACAGAGAAAATAATAATTTTTCAATATTAAAGATCGTTCAGTTCATTATTTAATTAGTTGCGATATTCATTCAATTTAATTAGAAACTTTTTCATATATATATATATATATATATATATCTTGAAAATGATACATCGTCATCACACACACACACGGCAGCTTGCACACAATACTTAATATTTATTTTCTGTAAATTTTTCGACCATGGAATTTATTTATTTTTGTAAATTACCCTATGACTAAAACGTAAAAGAGTATTTGTTACAATATGCATTATATAGTTACTTCAAAATCAAATTGTTGGTGTCAATTTAAAAGAAAATATCAATTTTGAACACAATAATCAATCCAGTTTAAGACGAAGTATACAAATAGACTTGACTATATCTTTTCATCTTAAAAGTCAGATGACATCACTACTATATAAAAGTATAGTTGTGGTGCTTATTTCTGTTTAATTTTAACTTTGTAGAATTTTAGCATCTAGAAAACACGAGGTACAACTTGCTTTTTATTTTTAAAAAATAAATAAGTTGCAGCGTTTTGTTGTCAAAGCACTACAGCTTACAATTTTGAGCATTCTCAATCAAATTTGTGAGGAACTACACTCAACACCATATCTCTTGCTAACTACAAATATTCTTTTATTAAAAATAATCTTGTTCGAGATACCATTAGACACTAAATGTGAGCATCTCTCCATCTAAGGCTCGAATTTTGGTTCGTCACATTGTGAGATATTAGTCCCTTCTGCTAGACCTGACCTCTTGGTAACTCAACACTATCTGTGTACCTGTCACTTTCTACTCTCTCACACACTTGATCCCAACAATCTCCATGCACATGTGAATGATCATAATATAGTCAAACAGCTATGCTCCCCTTTTGGTTATTGACCACCCACTTCTTATCATTGATCCTTTTGATATAATTAAGTGTGTATATCTCTATCTCCAAGTATGTCTAACCACTAGGCATGCATGAACATAAGCTCAGCTCATTTGAGTAGTCATTGCATGCTAAATACTTAAAATTTAGGTATTGTCGAGTTCTAAATGAAAATAGTTTCTTTTTGTAACATGGTGCTCCTTTGGTTCTAAATCTATGATCTATTTTGTAGTGTAAATTATACTATAAAATGAGTCTTATATTTAGGATCGGATGAGTATTTTAATCTAAAATTTTATTGAAAGGACATTGAATCTCTTTTCTACTTCACTCAACCACTTTTAGTTGTTAAACCGTGCATTTATTCTAATATTTCTATTGAGGTTCAAGGAAGATTCAAATATTAAGGATATTCACTAGACCTCTGCCCAACATTCTTTATCTAATATTCTTTATCAGTCAAAAAATTGATTTAGAAAAAAATTAAAAAGGTTGAAACTAATTATTAATATATATAGTTGATATTCCCCAACTCTAATTTTCAAATAATATTGGATAACTTCATACTATATCAAACAGAGATCGTAAGATGATAGGGGGAGTAGGATGTGATTTTTTGAATATGATGTTTGTCTTCATGTCAGAAAACAATACAAAAACTATTGTCACATAGTATTGTATGATGCGACTAGAATTTCTATTAAAAGTAATGTTTGAACTTTTATAATTAAAGAAGCAAGCATTAACGGCTTGAAGCAACATCACAAGACCTTTCATTTATAAAAGGAGCTTACATGCAACTAGTTAAAAGTAATGTTTGAATTCTGTCATCTAATACAATGACAGTGATGGTTAAATTAAACTTAACCGCTACTAAAGATTAGCGGTAGTTTTGCACTTAACCATCATGATAATCATACTAGGAGTAACTCCTCAAGTCTTGGGGCTCCTATATATAGCACCAATAGCAGCAATTACTCTCAGCTACCACTTTAGTACTATAGCAGCAGTTAGGTGTTTAACTGTCACTAAAGTTGTTAAGGGGCCTGTTTGAAATAACTTATAAGTAGCTTTTCAATCATGATTTATAGAATACGAAATAAATATGTTAGAAGAATTTTGTCTCGACTTACGTAAAATGTGCTTATTAGTGATTTTAATTATAATGGCAAACAGGGCCTAAAGTGTTTTAACAACAATTTGGCTGTAGTTGCTATCAAAAGACGTCCTACATATTTCGCGCCGGCTTTGTTAAAGCTTATTAACAGCAATTTACTGTAATTAATTAATTGCTGCTAAAACAAGTGTTTTTCTAGTTTTAGGTCCTTCGGTGTTGTAGTATATGATCGATTGAGAAAAATAACTAATCTCTTATATCTCTTGATTTCTATCGGCACTGTGCTTCATGGGCATGCATGTGTTGTCATGATAAATGATTTGGGTGAAGGAGATCAATATTGTGTATTATTCAACGGAATTTAATTCTGGTGCAACTTTCACAAATTCAAGAATATGTGTATGTATTAATCATCACCAATAATAAAGCTAAAAACTATGCGTCCCCTTTGATGTCAAAAAGAAGAAAAGAACTAAGAAAGTATATGCCTATAATAATTAAGGTATTAGTTTTCTGACCACTCAAAAAGAGGTATATTAGCCAGTTTTCTGACACTGATGGCCCTTTGTAGCTTTTATAACTTTATATGAATGCTAGGCTAAAAAGAACAAGAGTTACTGTGCAGCTGATCAGTCACGTCCAAAACCAAAAAGATTGCTTGAAGTGAGATGATGATTTTCATTTATGAAATAGGTCGGTTTCAGCAGTAGTTTAAGGTTTCTCTTTCTAGTACGATCGCTAAAAGAATATCAAAGGAAGCAAAAGGTATCTCTAGATGTTCGTGCTCAAGTTTTAATCTACGAAGCCTTAAATATTTTTCAATACGCATGCGTGTTTAGTTCAGTTCAGCCATATACGAATAACTTCCGACATCACAAAGCATATTACTTTTGAAGCTGAATGATGATAATAGATATATATATCTGTATATATATTGAACGATGAGAAGCCCAGTAACTAGGCACACACATATATGAACCCTAAATTAATTTACTATAGATTCTAAATTTTCATAACTCGAAGCTGTTTTAAAATAGATGTTTCCACTTAAACTTACTGTTGACACCTAAATAAAAGGATGAAGAAGGTGAGAACAAGGTCTCTCTCTATCTATCTCTATCTCTCTCTCTCTAGATATATATTATAATACTAATAATAATAATTGAAGCAAAACAAGGCAAAGAAAAAAGGAAGAAATAAACAAGAAAAAGTGGAGGCATATGTAAAGATCAAAAGCGAAAAAACAGAGAGAGAATCTGGAAATGAGGTTTGGTAGGAACAAAAGGATAGTGTGGAAAATGAAATTACCTGGTACTTGCAAAGTCATAAAGCTTGCCGGTGCTGGAGAAGACAATCAATCCAACTTCGGCATCACAAAGAACTGATAGCTCTCTGGCTTTCTTCAGCAATCCATTTCTTCTCTTTGAGAAAGTCACTTGCCTGCTCGTCGAATTCTCGATCCTTCGAATCGCAATCTTCCCTCTTCCCATGATATGTGTGTGTATATAGATCTCCTTCCTCCTAGGGTTTGACCTGCCAGATCACCACCAAAAACCACCTCTCAATTCCCACAAATATGAAATACCCGTCGGAAAATAGAGCCGATCGGCCATCTCTTCGGAGTTTGGAGAAGATTGATATGAAATTTGAATAATACTCAAAAAGATGAATGAAGGTGATGAACTACCGGAAATTGCACAGTTCAGTGAAGGGGGGGAGAGAGAGAGAGAAGCTGGAGAAGAAACAAAAGGTAGAAGAAGAAGAAGAAGAAGAAGAAGATGTTCCTAAAGAACCAAACCTTGTTATATGATGCGGATTTCTGATTTCTATACTTTATATGGAAAGTTAAGGCTGGTTTTAGTGCAAAGCTTACAACTAACTACCCTCTTCTTTGGGCAAAACCTTGAAGCGGTTTTGCGGAGAACCAAAACCACTTTTCATTTTAAGAGAGTCTCGGTCTAGTCCACGCGCCCCATCATCGATTTGTGTACATGTCACAGAAGACAGAGCTCAGAGGAGCACAGACCAGTATAACAAAATCAGAGAAGATTCCTGGGACACGTTTCGCTCAGAGCTTAGCGCGTTGAGGAGAGTGAATAACTGCGAGTCCGGAAACCTGATTCCTCGGAGGGTTTCCTAGTTTAGGAATCGTGGGGACAGTACTGTGACGTATGGCAGAGTGACACGTAAGCATCGAAAATCGAGGGGCGCATGTACTTTTCCGCCTTTGAGTCTCCGGAAAAGTGGCGAAATGGCCATTGACTCTCAGTACTTTCCATTAATGACAATTGTGTCCAATGCAAGTATGTAAGGTTTTGGAGAATGAGCGTCAGACGCTGATAAGGGAATATAATCACAAGATCTCTTAACAAATTAAGTAAACAGCATAGATATGTTGCCATTTTTCATATCAAAATTTATCATTGCATATAACTTATTTATAATAAGATATTTTATGATTATTTTTTTTTCCTAAAATCATATAGTAATTCTCCTGAAAAATTTTGTATATAATCCATTTGGTTTCTAAGGGAATCTCATATATATTCATGCGGGTTGATAAGGGAGGAAGAAAAAAGATACTACCTCTGGTCATAATTATAAGAGCTATTTGACTAATTTGAAGATATTAAAGAAAAAAGTTAAGTTAGTCATTTATAATAAATAGGTATTTTTTTTCTAAAATATTCTTACTAATCAAATATATTAGCTAGAATTATTATTGTTAGAATGACGACCTTCGAAAAAAATACATAAATATAATAGACAAAATGAATTGGGATCTTATATTTAAAACTAAAATAAAAATCAAACATGGTCTTATATTAAGGACTAGAGGTAGTAATTTTACTTTGTCTTGTTTGGTTTAGAAGGAGAAGGGGAGGAAAAATGATTTTATATAGACAACTATATCCTCATTCTATTTAATTAAGTTTGTTTTCGTACTGTTATATAAATGTTTAACTAATAAACTATAATTATAGATATTTTTTAAATATATAAAATTTTAATTGTATATGCTGGCAAAGATTATAATTATATAATTATCTACTTGCTCTATTTCGATTCTAAATTCATTCCCTCTGTGAAATCAACTTATCATTATACCACCTCCGATTCTTGATATAAGAGTTCATTTGAATTTTATTTTAATCCTAAATATAAGATCCTAATCTATTTTGTTTTTCATATTTATTTATTTTTTTCAAAGCAATCATCATAATAATAATAGTTTTAGTCAATACACTTTATTAGTAAGGATATTTTAGAAAAAAATATTTATTTATTACAAATAATCTACATAACTAATTTTTATATTAACAACAGGAGATAATATGTGACTATTATGGACATCTTCTTGCTTTGTAAGATCCTAGGGAGGCACCACGGGGGGGAAGAAGACAAGTGAATGGCTATTAATGTGCTTCCTTATTTCGTCAGCTTTTTAAAAATAGAAATATGCAATTATTCAGCCGCCATTAGAAAAGGCTCCCAAAAAGTAACCTCTTGGTGATGGCTGAAAAATGAATCATGACATTTTTCTCGTGTAGTTAGGTATGTAAAGCTAAAGAATCCAAAATAATTTAGTAAACAATGGCATTAATTAATATTTATCACATAGATTTTGATTACATAAAAATTATATTTGAGCATTATTAATACTTTTAAAATTCACAAAACAATTTATTTCAAATTGAACTTTACATATATTTTGGATAATGTTTCCTATTAGCACTTTTTAGTAAGCATAAAAAAAAAATCTGTCCCCATAAATTATCATACATATTTATTACAAATTTTTCGCATATATTTAATAATTGCAAAATTAATGTTAGTCAATATTAATGAAAATCTTCAACAAAATCTCAGTTAATATATTATTGAAACCACCCCTGTAAGAACACATTTTTATTGTTGTTTGTAACAGGTACTCCGATTCATGAATCAATCTATAATTTCCGCAAAATATATTAACAAAGAAAGCTGTGAAGACTGAAGAGTACATATCTACGCTAACTTTAAATTCAACTTAAATGCAAATTCAGGAGTTATTTTAGTCTTAAATATATGAGCTAGTTAGTAAATATGGTTTTGAATAGTCCTCCTGTTCCATTTATAAGCTTCAAATTCGAAGAGGGGTGTGATCCATTTTATAAACTTCAATTTAAGGTTTATCTTAACATTTAATGTATTTTTTTTTAATTTTGCTCTTAATTATTGATTCTCTCTCATTTGTCATATTCTATCTTATCATATTTTCCTACATAATATTTTTCATCATTTTTCTCATTTATTATAAGGACATATTTGAAAACAAAAATATATTTTTAACATATTTACTTTTAACTAATTTTAATTAATTATTCGTTATCTGTGAATTAGTTATTTGAAGCTTATAATAAGGAACAAAAGGTATATAAGATATCAATTCACTTTGTTTCTCAAATTTATAATTTTTTCCTAAAATATCCCTATTAATTGCACATGTTAAGAAATTTTATCATTAAGAGGTAATTTCAAAGCAAGTTATTAAAAATAATATTTGGAAAAAGCAATACATTTCTTATAAATAACCATTTTAATTAATTTCTTTAATGTATTAGCAAAGTAGTTATCTTCTATATACATTTAGAACTGGAGAGAGTACGTTCTTATAAAGAAAACTTCTTACAATGGCATATATGCAGACAAAAGCAAGCATACAAGTAGTGAATATCATGGCTTGACAGTTTCAATGTGAAACATTATATTACGGAATGCTGCTATATATTCAAACAAGTTTTGCAGGAGTGGCTTTCAAGCTAAGTTATTTTGCCTTATATATGATCATTGTTCAATAATAATGTGCAAATATAGAGATAGATGTGTAAACATAAACTATATATATACATGGAAAAGCCATATATACATGTTTCCACCATCAACCAAATCCATCAGAAACATTATTTGAGAAAAGCATATTGTAATTGAATATATAAGAAATTTTACAATGTCTTAATAACAAGCACATAGAACATGTAACGGATTTCTATCCACAAGAGGACAATAAGAGATTGAGTAATCCTTTAGATTAAAGGATTAGGATATGTTTATATAAATGAGCCATGTACTCCTCCGGTCCTTAATATAAGATCTAATTGTTGAGTTGGTTTTGGTACTAAATATAATACCCATTTTTCATATTTATCAATTTTTTCTAAATTACCCCTATGGATACTCCTTTAACCATAATCAAGTAGAAAAGGAAGAGGGAGTAATAAGAAATATGATTATGACATTTTAGGAAAAACATGTCATTTTCTTATAATTAACTAATTTACCTAACTTTCTTAATCTAATCAAATTAGTTAAATGGGTCTTATATTAAGGATCGGAGGAGTATATATTAATCTCAATATTATATAGATATGAATATCTAAAAATATACAATAATCGTACTAAGCAATATTATATTTTATTTAAACTTTTTTTATTATTACTAATATATATAAATGACTGCTTACTTTCAGATTATGTAATAATTTTTCAATTCGTATAATGCAAGGTCGATAGCGATTGGGAAAAATAAACGTGGAGATTAAATCAAGAGACTTTGCCTTTGTAGGAGTAAAGTAAGATACGAGAAATTTTTTAGGGACCATCTAGACTTTATTTTTGGTTTTCTTAAGTCCAACTTGCCATTAATTTACTCTACCAATTAGCGAAATTCGAAGTGATATGATGTGAGATCTTATGAAAATGGTTTAATTTGTCATCTTATTCATCGTAGTGCGTAGATAACGATAAGAAGAAAAAAAAGTTACAAATTAAATATCTTGAATGTCGTACAAAATCCGAGATTCAATCTGGTGTTTTGTGTGTAAGAGTAACTTTATTATTAGAAGTTTGATCTTTTAAGTAGCTAGCTAATTAAGCTCTTTCATTATGTTACTATATATACACACACTTTGAAATTCTCACTATATACAGGGTATATTGGTAAAAGATCCCAACACACACACACACACACAAAACAATGGAAAAGCTCAAATCTCTTCAAAAGTTAACTTCGTCTCATATTTATTATACATCAACTTAATCGAAAATTCAGTGTTCAACTAAATTCAAATATTTACTCGACCAATATGGTTGGCTGTCCCTAATATATTATCTATAGGAGTTAGAGCCTGTTTGGTTAAAATAGGCTTATTTAAGCTCTCACTGCTTAACCAAACAGGCACTTATATATTTGAAGAATTCCGATCAATTTTTATCAACTGATTTTTTCCCAATCTATCCTCCCATCCTCTTCCCAAAATCTCTCCCCAAATGATTATATGTAGTAATATTTATTAAATTCATACATTTTGGATAATTATACATCCACAAGTGATTTTAATAAATAAAAACCAAACATTATCATCATCACCGATTACCTAACATTACTAGCAAGTGTCACTTATAAAATTTATGATGATTTAAAATCACAGTTATTCACCGTTAATCTAAGTAGACACTTAGTTAGGATTGGATTTTGTCATAAATATAATACCAAAATTATATATATCATATTTATCATTTTTTTAAAACTAATTTATTTGACTTGTAAAAGACTGCCTAATCTAATAGGTAAAAGTATACATTTAATCCCCTAACTTTAAAGTATATTTTGAATATCTTAACTCTAAAATTGTTACTCTGAGATGATAGTATTTTGTAACAATTATTAAGCCTAATAAATTAACATTTGAGAATGTTTTATCAACATTCAATATCTTATAAATTAGTTTAAATAGCTATTATATTAAAGACATTATCAAGAATATATATGTATATATATTATATAACATCTGATAATAATAACCTTGGGTTTTATTTATTTGTCATTGCTTTGGCACT